ACACACCGTGAAGCATGCACCATACACTGGACACATAGGATCCTAGCTGAAGCTATCAACAGAATAACAACCGCAAGTGTCCGGAATCATATAGAGCATAGCAATCACCGGTTAAAGCAATCCACTATACTCACAATAAATACCAGTCACAGCAGATTGCATTATCTGCGTCCCTCTTCAGCCCGACCAACTCAGTCTTCAGAGCCAATCCTTATCCCGAAGTTACGGATCCGCTTTGCCGACTTCCCTTATCTACATTATTCTAGTGACCAGAGGCTGTTCACCTTGGAGACCTGCTGCGGATATGGGTACGGACTAGCACGAAATTAGAATACATCTAGTCTAGATTTTCAAGGGTCGCCAAGAGTGCACTGGACACCGCAAGAGCCGCGGTGCTTTACGGTGCCGAAATCCCTATCTCCGGTTAAACCGATTCCAGGGACTAGGCACCTTACAAAGAAAAGACAACTCTTCCCAGGACTCATGGCGACGTCTCCAGACTAGTTTGCGTTACCGCATTCGTCCCCGAGAGGACTATCTCCGTGTCTAGGTTCGGGAATATTAACCCGATTCCCATTCGCGAAACACCTCAGTCTTAATACAGATTTATGTACGAATTGAATATATATATGTGTGTATTGTAGTGTATAACAACAGCAACAGCACACCGCTTTTAGTGTGTAAAACTATTCACATACTAAGACTTATCAAATGTCAATCCTTTGTTCAATACAATGAGTATACACATGAAACATCAAGCATCAACAGCACACTATAAACACAATATAGATGGTAAGCAGCTAGTACAAGCAATAGTATATACATACTCCTACCTCTATACCATGCTAATGAGCACGAATATATGGTATTACATATATATATACATCACTACACCGCTACCACTATACTTGAAGTGATTATATTTACGTGTGTGAGTGTGTGTATACATGGTGTATATATACCTCATTGTTGAGGATAATGACGTTAAGTATAATAGTAGTGATAGTACACAACGATGTGTGTGCGAGTATGTGTATACATACACACTATAATCATTATCATACTATATCTGGGACTTTGGCTAGGGATTTCTCCCCATCGCTTAGGGCCGACTGACCCATGTTCAACTACTGTTCACATGGAACCCTTCTCCACATTGGTCCTCAAGGTTCTCACTTGAGTATTTGCTACTACCACCAAGATCTGCAATAGTGAAAGCTCCAGGCAGACTCACGTCTGACACCTTCAACGCTATCACTACGTCCCTCCTACTCGTAGAGGCTTACATCTTGTAACCAATCACTTGGTACTCAACGATTGCCTCTACGGTCGGGTATAGGTTCCACGCTTGAGCGCCATCCATTTTCAGGGCTAGTTGCTTCGGCAGGTGAGTTGTTACACACTCCTTAGCGGTTTCCAACTTCCATGGCCACCGTCCTGCTGTCTTTAGCAACCAACACCTTTCATGGGATCTCATTAGCGTCAGCATCGGGCACCTTAACCCGACGTTTGGTTCATCCCACAGCGCCAGTTCTGCTTACCAAAAATGGCCCACTAGGCGTCAACATACAGTATAATGAGTTCTACTCTAATCAAACGAGTAGGACTTCGCACCCATTAGGAGTTTGAGAATAGGTTGAGGCCATTTCGGCCCCAAGACCTCTAATCATTGGCTCTACCGGATGCTACTGATTTTCTCTGATGCCAGCTATCCTGAGGGAAACTTCGGAGGAAACCAGCTACTAGATGGTTCGATTAGTCTTTCGCCCCTATACCCGGATCTGACGATCGATTTGCACGTCAGAATCGCTACAGACCTCCACCAGAGTTTCCTCTGGCTTCATCTTGCCCGGGCATAGTTCACCATCTTTCGGGTACTAACATGCATACTAGAGCTCCGCAAAAATCTCGGTAAAGAGGATATATCACGGGCCGGTATTGCGGTGAGACAACTTCACTTACAATTGAAGTAAAGAGTGTACCCACATCATACCTGTTTCTTTCAATGCGCCTTCCGAGCCTATTCAAGACTGTTCGGCTTGCATGTATGTTAGACTCCTTGGTCCGTGTTTCAAGACGGGTCGGATAGAGTACCGATCTACTTGCCTCCGAATCACAATATAGCGAATCCATTAACCATACAGGATGTTCATCCAATGCATCTCCAAAAGGCCGCATAACCATGAGCAGTTTATGCACAGAGTACACAAACTAACCCAATGAATGAAACACGACCTGTATACACTGGCAACCTGTATGGCAATGTGATGACCCTGCTAAGCAGAGATTCGTGTCCGGTGTGCATGTGAGTACATAGTTACCCAACCACAGCTCATAGGCTAGTAATGGTAGTGCAAGACTGGCCATTAGCTATGAATACTATGTATGGATCAGATGCGTGATTAGCGCACCTTTCTATGACCACAGAGGATACGGTATCTGATAGGGATACCTTTCACACCGGTCGAGGCTCGAGCACGAGAAATGAGAAAATGCACTCCCAGCACGGCTATTGCTTAGAGTATCCTGGAACATACGTTAGACAGTGAAGCTCAAGGCTAGCCAGAGTTGCCCCTAGCTAGTGATCTTGACGCATAAAGCATCTTCACCATCCGATGCCCCA